ACAAAATTTTCTCAAATTAGCATATGCCAAACACCACATTCGTAAAGAAAATAATTATAAAAGAAGAAATTGGTTAGAAAAAAAAAAGGAAAAAGAAAAACAACCATTTCATGAATTCCCACCACCTCCCCACCTCATGTCCATCGAACCCGGATAATTCACACCCTTCACAAAAATTTGGTATAGTTAAAATATGTGTAGTATCAACACCTCCACCAAGGCTTCAAAGCTTGGATTTTGATCTGGGGGAATCTCTGCAAACCCCATAAATTTCTAAAGCATCATTAGAAGTGTCAATGTTGTACCATCAAATAGAAATGAAAGCTATATGGTAGCGGTCGAAAATAGCTTGACCTTCAATTAGGACATTGAGAAAAAAATATATATATTCTAGTTCAATACTGTGAAGAATTCCAGCTCCATCTGAACTTTATTATCGAAATTGGTTCACCTTCGAAGTATTTTTCCATCTAATAGAAAAAAAAATGACATCCATGGATACTCTTAAATAAATGCAGTATCTTTAAATAATCTTGAAAGTAGAAGGTAAGATAAAAGACCAAGTTATCAAGTTTTATACCTTCTTGAAGATATGGACATCAGCCAATTCATTCCTCCGTCCAAGAAGTTTTGAATGAAAAATCTAAGCACTGAGATTTATGGCACACTAATGCATGTCAACTGCTAGATTCTCCTTTCTGATCAACGGGAAGAAAACTGGGTTGATTACTCGTTTACACAGATGCCCATTATCACCATAGTTGGCCATTCTTAAGAACACATTTTCTCCTAAACTCAATTTTAACCACACATGGAAGGCATTCATGAACAGCTCCCTGTTACTCTATGTTCTGCTGGAAAGATAGAAACACGGGGGTATTCTCATGTAATTCTCGACTGCCTAATATGATCCTATCTCACGAAGGACTACTAAAGGTGACTAGGATGACAACATCGATATTTGCCTAATGCAGAGAGAATCTGGGCACTACCACCAGCAAATCGTCTGAAACTTAATGTTGATGCTACTGGGGTCAGAGTTTGATGACTAAGAACTGACTGGCACGATGAAAACGAAAAATGGAAGCTGAAATCTTCGACTGACCAGAACGTGTTATATTACATCTATTTCCAATCCTCATAATTTAGTGAAATCTGAAGCCTCTATGTCTAAGAAATCATTGAAAAAGTCACTCAAACATTCGAGAACATTTGCAGTACTTTTAAGGTTGATCAACGTGCATGTCCTCTTGCACTGATTTGCATGCATATTCAATTGGATTATCAAATATCCGAATCACGCCAAGTATTTAAACAAGTAAACACTATCCTTGTCTCTTTCCAGAGAGTCCCTAGTAATCAAATCTTCGATCCTCTTTTCGATTGCTTTAACATCGGGCTGTGGCGAGAACATTTACATTTTAACAATATTTTCAGTTAATTCAAAAAGCATGTTTGGCTGAGCTTAAAAGTAACTCTTAGGTAATTTTTGTTTCTAAACATGTTTGCATAAGTTAATGTGTTTTAGTACAACTACAAAATTTTACATATTTTACCTTGAGTTGGGGGTTACTTTCAAAATAAGTAAATATCTAACTTTGTTAAGCAAAAAAACAATAAACTTGCCTATCTACTTGCAAGTAGTTTTACTTAAGCTCAGACAAACATGCATGTGAAGTAGGAGGAGAAGACATCTGAAGCGTTACTTAGAACATGCGCCCCAGCTGCTCAGCACACTCCATAACCAACTGCTGACAGCCCAAGACTTTCCTACTTGAATTAATCTAAGTGTACAATATTTTTTGACAACAATAGTTGACAATTATGTGATGTAGAAAATAGTTTTTTAAAATGGATGGATATAATGATACCAAATAAAATATTGTCAACCAATGTTGTCAACACTATTGTACATGTAGCAAAATTCTTCCTACTCTTCATGAGACGTACAATTAAGGCATCAATAGCATATCGTCTGTCCTTGTCAACATCTTCGATTACTTTCTTCTTCTCATCGATAGGAGGGAAAGGGATCTGCAAATTTCATTGAAATACTTACAGATAGGAGTATTACAAGGAAAGGATTGATTATACTTGATTGATCTGACTTCTTGTTTAGCTCCACTTCTTTTTCCCAGCCAACTTATCTTAAACGCATGTCCGTTCTGATCATTTATGCATGGCTTTATTCTGTATGCATTGGGGGTGGGAGAGGGGTGTACCTTGTTCCTTCTCATTTTATCGGTGAACTTTGAATTGAATTCAAAAACGTCAGTTGGAGATATTGTCTTGGTGTTGAGCTCCTCGTTAAGAATCTTATACTTCGCACATGAAAGAGAATGAAGCAACCTAGTGACATCATCATCTGACAGGTTCAACTGAGTCATGATTATATGGTAATTCAACCTATCTGAGGCATTGAATAGCAGCAGGGTAGCAGCCTATAAACAAGAGAGATAAAAGCTTCAGTCAACAATTCAATATTACATCAACCATACAGAATGGTGAATGAAAATATTAGATTGTCATCAATAACCTGGTAGGTTGTCACGATAAGCTCCATAGTTTTGGGCTCAAATTTCCCATTGGTGTTGCAAGTGCCCAACGAATATATCCATGCAAGTTTTCGGTGCTTTGTTTTTGTTTGGTAGAACTCTCTAAATACTTCAACACACTTGACCTGATGCAGAAGTCACAAAATAATACAAAATACGTAAGTAACGCAATCCTTTCGCGATAAACAAGATTTTGCATAAGCACAAGTCAAAAACATACCATCTCAGATGGGAGATTAAGATCAAAGGACTTGTAACTTGGCCAGAAACCAGTAGTCAATACAGTAACAGTCAAGTCAACCCCAGGATATGTATTCACATTATTGCTGAGTACTCCTCAAAGCTCATTTGATTTTCCCTTGCTAATGTCAAATCTGTCACCTGGAATGGTTGAGAAGAGAGAGGAAATAATTTCAGATCTTAGTAAGCCTCTTATTCAGCATGGAAAATACAAGAACTTACCATTCCCTCCATTTTTGAAGTAAATTGACCACCGCATTGCTGCTTCAACTTTGCAAGGATACTTCTCTCATGCTCATCTCTGGCACTCTTACCAAATAATAGCCACCATGCAAGCTTTTTCCTGAAAAAATAGCAATATAAATCAATCATCTTATCATATAAAATATATTATGTCCTTAAATGATTGAAAACCCAAACCATCAAGTCGGGAATTATACCTATGGAATTCAGCAAAAAGATCCTTATCACTAATATAAGCAAGCAGTTTTACCACCTGCAAAAGTGAACAGAACCTCAATCAAATCTTTCTACGTGTTTTACCAAATAAACGACAAAGCAATATTGTAAAACACGATAAACACACCTTCTCCAATGTCTCTTCAATGGCTTCATCACTCAATTTTTCACTCCCACCATTTTTGAGAATTTTATCACAAAACGAGGGAAGAAGTTCTGCACTAGAACTTCCAGCAACACCCTTGTTGTAGATGACTTCAAAGGCCTCCTTGAGCAGTATAAGATAACATCAAGATTGCTGATAATAATTGAGTTCTCAATGAACTAACAAAAACTAAATTTGTATTACTACAGCCTGGTGCTTGACAGTATGTGATATATATATAACTTGAAAACCTAATAATTTGAAAATACTTTTGTAATTCAAGTAACTTGAAATTCTGGCTCTCTCTTATTCTAAGAATTCCTCAATCTATACATTACATACAACAAGAGGAAATTTTATGTTGTAAATAACTCACTTTTGTGACAGAAAAAAAAAATCAGCTTGGCTCGTTCTTAGGACCGAGCTGGCTTGAATCGGCCTATTGCCACTCTCAGGCACAGAAAGTTGATCAGCAGAAACAAATATGCTAATCATTCAGCGAAAACAGAAATGAAATTAGATAAGATTACCCCTCAAAGATCACATGGCCACGTAGAAAACTGCAATGGAATAATATGAATTTATACATACAAAAAGAACGAAACCAAAGGAGCAACCTCCTTTATTTACAATTGAATCAGACGCCTTCGAAACTTTTCTTTTAATTATACCGGAAAAAATGATAAAAATAGATGGGAAAGCAATAGCAAGTCCTTAATAAGAATGGACAAGTCATAATTACATTGCAACTCCACATCAAACAGACTAATTGCTCTAGATCTCTATAGTACTCTCATTCTCTATACCCAAATAAAATATAACCCAAAAATCAAAACTGTCACTTTCACATAAACTCCAAGTCTTGTCCTTAAACATGTAAAAATTCCATGTCTCGCTATGTCCCACGCCGTTGAATCTAAATTTTGAGCATGTTGTGCTCTTATCTTGCTAAAGAAGCTGACCGTTCAAAAATATATCATAAAATGGTGAACTAATCTCATGTTTGTACACCTCCAGAAACATGACAAAGTCTGTTAATGTTATGTTTCTTCACCAGACAGCAAGTGCTTGGGCACAAACTTCCAACTTGTGTCCAAAGCCAGCTAACACAGAGAATATGCTAGTGAAAGACAATATACAGTTGCCTACTCTCTATTGCCATTGAAACCTTGACAATTGACGGCCTTAAATGCAAGCCGTACCAAATGTACAAGGTCCTCTACATTCTGAAAGCTGAAGTCGATGATCCTCTTAACAGAAATGATACCCTCTTTATTCTGAGCATCTTCTGGGTTCACATTAGCCGCTGCAAAAGCGTTCTGGGATTTTCTGGAAGCCTCCATTGCAGAATTCACATCTTTAGCCTGCAAGAGAGAGAGAGAGAGAGAGAGAGAGAGCACATTTGGGATTCTTACCACATTGTTTCCATAAAACATACTGGCATCAAAACATACATTGGAAGTCTAGATCTATCAGTAATCCTAAAGAATATAAAATCTGTCACCAGCAACAGGAAGCAAAAAATATTTGTGCATCTATCAGTATAGGCCACTTGAAAATGCAAGGAAACATAATCAGAAGATTGAACATAAGTACCTCTGCAAATTATATTAACTCCAGTTGACTTCATCCGAAGTTAATATGACACTCAAATCGTTCAAATCAAATGCCAGAAAGGATTGCAAAAAAGAAATAAATATAGTAAACATCAACATCCACTTACAAAGTCAAGTAGCCAAACAAGGTTGGGGTGGTTTCGAGGAACTATAACTTGATTCCCAGCTTGAGAACCATTTCCTTTAGACAAAACAGCTTTATCCACCATTAAATGGTTCAAGTTATCAATGTCAGATGCAGAAGATGATGGAGATTCACCTACATGTGACATCATAAACAGTCATTTAGAATAATTTCAATTAATCAGCTAATGCAAGGTTAAAAAAAAAAATCAACAAAATTGCATTAGCGAAGGTAGATAGGGATAGATTTTATCAAAGTAAAACAAAACTAGATGTTCAACAAGATCACTATCGTCTATCAATAATCTGAAGATTGGAGAAACTTGTTTGCAAATCATGCAAAAATCTACATGTACTCGAATTTTTGCAATAAACTACCCTCATGTAAGCCACCTCCATGCATTTGTAGGCCAGTGCAGCAGCAGCCATTTCTTGGCGTTTTTCATATTCAAGGGCACAGGTTCTGCAAGGTATGCAAAGTTCATTATGAAAGCTCGAAAGAGGATAGTGCGTTTGGAGAGCATCTTACCTATCGCAGAATTTCAGAGTAGTTTTACAATCATGCTCAAGATATGTTCAGATAATACAATTTTTTTAACTGAAATATGTAGGTGAATCACATTACTTTCACATTACTTTTCAGATTTCACAGGGAAATATTCTGTAGTGGCCACTCTGGACCCTCAAGTACAAAGACTTGAGAGAGTCGTGTATTAAAAGCGCTTTCATCTAAGTGTGAGTCAATCAAACATTACTGATATCCTCAGGGAACAATACTTTTATCAAGAAACTGCGTATGATTACAGTGCTAAAGGGCACACACTCGCAAAGTTTGGCAGTACAAAGACTTGAGCAAATCATGTCGGGGAACAATATTTTTATCAAGAAACTGCATATGATTAGAGTGATAAAGGGCACACTCACTCGCAAAGTTTGGCAGTACTGCTATACATTTGCATTTGATTCATCTCCCCATACTTGCTAGTTTCACCATTGCATGCCTCTAAAAGAGAAGCACCGAGAAGAAAATTTAAAGCAGCTTTGAAGTATGCCTCATTACTTTCAAAAGGAAATCCAGAGTCCTGCACAATATTATATAAGAAAAATTTAGAAATGTGGGTGGGAAATTGGTCATATGCATGTTTAAAGGGAACTCAAAGCTGATGAAAGTAAAAGGCCTAAAGATACAAAACGAAAAATAGAATCCAGTTATTAAAGCTTTAATAGAAAAAAAAATGCACACACAATAAAGAGCAATGTGTGAGACCTTGAGATGATCAGCATAATCTCTGAGTTTTTTAGCTTCTTTCAAGACACTAGTTAGAGTCAGACTGGAGGAATTCTCGCTACCAAGGCTAACAGCACTAATATTTCGACTCAAAGCCACATCAGCCACAATATTTCCACTGAAGTTATTAGTTCCATGCTGATGACAAGTGTTAGCTGGCTCTTCTGATACCTTTGACAAATCACCAACTACAGAAGTATCAAGTGGACTTAAATCTGTAAAATTTCCTTTCAGAGATCCTGGGACTGATTTGCTAGGAGGCAACTTGTCTTGCTTATCTCCTTGACAGTTGTGATCAATAACTGCCCCTTCTTTCAAATTTTTATTTGTATCCAAGCGTTCCAGGTCAATCTGTTGACTGGAAACCCTCTCTGCCACTCTCTCAAAATTAACACCAGATGTTCTATCGTTATCCATAGGCAGCAAAGAGGTACACCCTTTAAAACGGTTCTTGTTCATCCTCTCCTTGTTATGGCTTCGTTCTGAAACACGCACACTGGTGGTACAGAGGCTATGTTGTTCCATTATATCACCATCATTACCAACAAAAGAGCCATTGCCATGTTCAGGAGGGTTAGTGCCTGATTCAGATTTTCCACTGAATTTGTCTCTAGAGACACTGTCCCGAAAATCTAGGACAGGGTGTTCAGAAGGCTCAGGAAGACCACTGGTAGCTTTCCCCTTCCTGGCCGTCCCCAAGCAATTGCTCTCAGAATTTCCATTCCTATCCAGAGATTTCCTTGGGCTTCCCATTGTGGGGAAGTCATTGAGCCTAGAGTCTACTTTATCTTTAGTCTCCATCCTCGCTGGTCGGAGCTTATTCAGATAAGACATCTTCATGGGAGATGAGGAAACAGACTCTTCAGGTGATCCTTTGACTTCTTTGCAATTGCCTCTGCTTTTACGGGAATCTGAAACCTTAGAGGAGCTTGAAGTGGCAGCCACTGATAACAGTTCAGAGCCCAAATCCTTCCGCAGTGATTCTATATCATCCATGGTTAGCTGCACTGGAAGCTTTGCTCTGTATTTCCTTGCCTGCCATTCTTTCTCAATACTCCTGTCAAGTGGATTTTCTTTATTCCCAGATAACAGAATCTTATTTGCTGTACTTTTCTTATTGGTATATCTGTATCCTTACTTTTGCTGAACTCCTCCCCATCAATCCGAGACACCCTGGACTTCTCTCTATGAAATCCACTATTGCTGCTCACCTCTTTTACAGATAGCTTGCTGTTTTGAAGGTCACTTTTATTACTATGCTGTGTCAGTTGATATTCCTCACTGCTTTGAGAATCCTTCAATTTTCTCTTCTTTGAAGAAATTTCCCTCTTATTGCAAGTAATCGTATCCAGGGACCCATTATCCGCTAATTTCTGCACATTATCTTTCTGTTCTTCCCCAGAAATTTGTAAGTTCTCTCTCCCCCCCGATCTTGAATCAAGTACCCTCAGTTTTTTCTTATCCTTCAAATCCGCCTTATTTGGCAAACCAGAAGACGTACTGCAGCCAACCCTATCAAGATCCCCACCGGGGGTCAGAAAGTCATCCAAATTCATTGCGCCTTCAGGTTTAATCTTTTCACATTTGTATGTACTTGTTGATCAGACTCCCTCTTTCTTTTCTTCCTTGGATTTGCATCATCTGCAAGGATATTATATCAGAAAACAAAGTAAACAATCATAAACGAAAAAATGAAGGGCAAAAGGAGATGCCAGAGGGATAATAACACACCTCCAACTAAATGCTCATTTTTTCGTTTATACAAAGATTTTGCCATGACAGCAGATGACTTATTCCGATATTTCATATTAGATTTGTTAACTAAATTCGGTGCTACTTTGACCTCCTTTAGACTTTTGTTTCTCACTGGCTGCAGTTGGAAGTTTTGGTTCAAGTTTGAAGAAGGAATTGGATCACTGATACCGTCAGTGTTTGGTGTTTCTTTAAATTTGCGTTTCTTCTTTCCCTCATCAGCAATTTGATCGGAATCAAAGTTTTGGTGGTTCTGACTGAAACGATGTCCACCACCTGAAGCCACTCCATTTGTGATTTTGTCAGCATGAGTTTGAAGATTACTTTGATTATCAGGGAAAGGAACCTTGTATAAAGCATAAAGAGCTTTTGTGGTCTCATCTTCGCTGATGTCACAACGGTTCAACCCTGGCCTGAAGATAATCCAAAATCGTATCAAGCTTAGGCTTCAGCAGTTCAAAGTTTATATGTGCATACATATATTTGATGGAACGCGTCAAACAAATCCAACAAAAAAACAGGAAGTTATGCCGATGCTTTGTAGCACAGACTCTTGCAGTGTGTGGATCTAAGCGTCATACGCGAGTTGTCGACCTTTAGAACCCAGGAATTAGTCGAAATGCATTTTGGATGCACTATTCAGAAAATTAAGAAAATATAAAAGATGCTCTAATAGCAATGTGCATATGGTTGATAGTAGGAAGAAAACTGAAGCTTCTAAGTAATTGTAGTTTTAGCTTAGTTCTAGGCAAGTTGAATAATATTGTGTCAAGCATCGTACAGCATGATAAATTAATTCGACATAAATAAATAAATAAACACGAAATATTGCTCCTGCAAAAGGTCGAGTGATAAAAATAGTGTCACGCGACATTCATTTTCAAACAGAGGGAGTGTCAATACTTGCCCAATGAAATCAAATTATCGAACAAACATATCAACCTGATAACAAAACAAAGCTCTCAAAATGGACCAGGAAAGAACTTACAGCCAGTTTAGCATGCTGCAAACCCACTTATCAGGCAGATTCTGGGGCACAGTACCAATTGGCAAAAGACACCACTTCTGACACCTGTCACAAGCAACCCAATGTTCTTCTATGAGAACACCAGCCACAGGGGTCTGTTCAGTCTCGGAGATGAGTCCTTTATCAGGAGGCAGGGCATCAGGTGGGGCCTCCTTCAAATTTGTTCCAGAATTTACCTGGTTATTTAACTTTCTACTACTTGATCTCTCTTTGTATTTATCAACAGATGCATCCTTTTCCTTGATAGTCTCAAGATTAGAGTTCTTTGACCAATCGTCAGAAGGCTTCTCCAGTGATTGCTTCAGGATATCCAAATGTTCTGATCTTGTGTCAGCCACATCTTTATGACTGCTGTGGACTTCACGGGAATCCTTCTTCACAGTCAATTTGCTTTTAGTAGCAGAAAAAACACCACTTCTCAAACTTTCCTCAGCTAAATTTGAATCTAATTTCACACTACTTCTACTCCCTTTTAACTTCTTTTTACCTTGCAATGATACCTTATTTACAGCAGGAGACATTCTCGATTCATCCTGTTCTCCAGATGTAGATTTCAGAACATATTTACAACTCAAAGGATTTATGGATCCTCTAGAAACCGTCTCACCTTCAGAAATATCAGAATTGGCTACCAACGAAGCAGGAATCTTCTTACCTGTGCTCAAGGCACCATCCTCATTATTAATTGAACCATCCTTCTGAATACTTCTTACTCGATGTTTCCCAACCTTATCTGCAGATCTATTTTTGGGTTCCTGGTAGTCATACTTAACTCCACTTTGGCCAGATATTGATTCAAAGGAGTCTGCCTTGACCACAACAGCTGATCCTGCTCTTCCTTTCACCCTATTCTTGTTGCCCACCCTCTTCCTAACTGGGACATTGCTTTCAAAGTCCCTGATAGTTGTAGGTGCCCTAACAACACCTTTCAAATACTCACCAGCATTGCAGACTGAATCTGATATAGGCTTGCAATTTAAATCATTCGATGACTGCAGCCTACATTCCAGAGTTTCAGTTCCCGAAATTTTCTTATCTTCTTTAATATCCATTCCAGATTCATTTTTTGATTCATCAAAATTTGCTCTTTTCTCAACAGATTTATTTTTCTACCCTCTCAAAACATCCCCATTCCAAAGCCTAGGATTTGTATCATGAAAAGGTACAACAGAGTGGTTGTGCGCACCCTTGAGGGCAGCTGTAGGCATACTATCTACAGGAGATTTTCTCTCTCTTACTAAGTTGAGCAAATCTTCATGAAGCGGTGAAAGTAGGACTCCAGAAACCGTGAACGAAGTCATTAGCTTTTCCAAAGCATATAGAGAAAGAGAGGAATAAAATAAGATATCGACTTCGCAACACAGGATTTAATAAAAGAAACATAAGAATCAACAAAGAAGTTTTGGGTCATGTACAGATGTGGTACTGTTTCAAAGTTAGAACGTAAATGAAGCCGCATATGCAATATAAATTTGCAACCAGATGGTGAATAATTTTTCACTCATTCTTGTTTATCTTTCAAAGTTGCTCCTCGTCTCAGGATGCGAGGAGTATAATGAGTAAAAGTTGTTTTTTTTGTTTTTTTATAAGTTTTTATTTAACCTGAAATGGCATGCGTAGGAGCCAAGGTTGGGGAGTTTGATCTAAAAATGCCTGGATTTAATTGGGAAGCATTGGATGGTGTTAGTCATCTATGAAAAAACACAAGAAAACATACCTTAAGGATTCTGGATGGAGATTCATCAGGGATCTCATGAAGTTCACATGAAATTCCACCACTTTCCTCGGGACTGTTTCCTGCTGAGGAAGATGGAGATATAAGCCCCAGACCACTGTAGATCGCAACATTCCGTTGTGTTGTCCTATCAGAACCCACTTTGATACGAACCTTTAATTTTCTTTGGTCAGTTTGATTATCTGACTTACTTGAAAGAAATCCAGGTTTAATGGGACAAGACTCAGCAACTTTATCAGACAAGAAAGCATCTTGTCTGAATGAACCATCCCCTGATGGGGCCTTTAGATTTTGTAAAGGATGTACACCAGGGGGTGCATTAGCACAATTCCTATGAGAAAAAGCCACATTGGGGAGCACCACAGAATGATGGGGGATACCCTGTATGGACACAACCCACAGAGCTAAGTAAATGAAAATTTCCTAAAGTGACAAACAGGCAGCAGAATATTTCTCCATACTGCCGTATGACTGCAGATAAGAATATGTTTTATCCACATACCTCTGGAGGAAAATAATTAGGAGATATTGGTGTGCTGGGTTTTTGAACTCTTAGCGGAGATTTTGGCTGAGACCAAACAGAAGGAGAACGTTGAGATGTTGGTAAAAATGAACCATACCCGCCAAATTTTGCCCCTGCAAAAATAAAAAGATTCCAAGCTATCATTTTTCCAATAGGAAAAAGTATGAGAATACCACCCTTTCCATCCAAGTGTCCCATTGTAGGTTCACTTACCCAAATTTTCAGCAGAAACTCCTCCTTCAAAATCTTTCTGAAAATGGCCCAAAATACTTTGAACCTTATCATCCTTAATAAACAGAAATCAAACAGTTACTAAAGTCTTGATAAACAAAAAGAATCAAAAAAACAATTAGCCATAAATTCAAGCTACAAGAGTATATATGACACCGCATAACTACATTATGCATTCATCTAACATAAAGCACAACCCTTTGCAACAATAATAAGTTTGTTCTAAATTGCACATTCTGAAATTTGTTGGACTAACTGCAACGTGGCCAGCAACCACCGCCAAAAATTAAAAGTGAGAGCCTCGCAACTAAATTTTGATATTATTCAATTTTTCCATAAGTTTATATTTAATTAAAAGGTTGACAAAAGTTGCTAAGTTTGATTCTTTTAAACCTTCCAAGTTCTGACTCTATCAATATCAAGCCATTGTTAAATTTGATTTTATAAATAACCTGACACAACATTTGCACTTCATGAAAACCCAGGTACATTTAGGCTAGGTTTGATAGCCATGATTTTGCCTAGAACTAGGAAAATAATTTTCATTTTCTCCATTTTGACTTGTTTGATAGCCAATAATTTCCCTAGAAAATGTTTTCCCACCCCATTACTCACGCGCCCAAATTCCTTCAAATTCATGAAAATGTTTTCCAAAAAAAAATTTCTTTTTTTTTGGCAATGTTAACAAATTTCATAACCAATTATAAAAAAAATATTCAATTTAATGAACAATTTTTATATAAAACGAAGTCAAACGAATACTAAATTTTGATGAAAAAATAGCGAAAAATAGTTTTCGAGCAAAAAATTTTTTTTTTAAACTTTTTGGCAATGTTAACAAATTTCATAACCAATTTTAAAAAAAAAATTCATTTTAATGGATAATTCACATGTAAAATAAAGTCAAACCTGAACAAAAAAATCCAAAATTTCAAATTTTTTCCTGGTAGAAAATTATACGAATCAAACACAAATCATTTTTCCTGCAAAACATTTTCTAGGCTGTAAAATATTTTCTTTCCACTCATTTTCCACCATTGCAATCAAACGCACCCTTAATAATTGAAATTCAGATTGAAATCATTTATTTTCCCTCAGATGATTAATGATCATAACCAATCGGCAGTCATTCACTTCCTCAACTCATTTATACTTAAATTAAGCATTCCAGATCAAGCCATAAAACCATGGAGTTCAGCTCTATCAATTCAATTTCTCTCTCTTTACTATTCATCTTTCTCTTTATTGGAGGACCAGACATGTTGAAAGTAATTTAGTTCACGAGTTCAAAGTTAACAAATTGAAATTTTAAAATTTTCGTCCCGGGAAAAAAATTCAAGAACAAAATAGAAACTCTTACAAGGTAAGAGAGAGCAACATCAGGGTCAATGCTTGTATCATCCTTGTGATAGCAAGCCTCTCCTTCTTCAAGCTCGGGGTTTTGAATTATCTTGGGGCCACTTCCCCAACATTCCATATCGAAAAGAAACCCTAACCCTAGACTCCACACACAAATTTCCCAAAACCCTAATCCACTGTCTATCCTAAAATCCAACATGATACTTCTTGTTCCAAGAATCCAACTTCAACCCAATAAATTACTCCCAAAACCCACTAATTAATTCCCCTTAAATTCCCTCAAATTCCAACGATCATAAACCCTAATTCAAGCCCACTTGATCGTCTACCTATACAAACTCTTCCTCTATGTATATATCTCTACGATAACCAGAAAATGCGCGAATACAATCCTTCCTCTTAACGAGTATTGAAGAATCAATAAGTTTTGCGGCACCAATCAAATCGATTCTTGAATATAACTCTTGATCTTTTGCTTATGTATGTATATGTGTTGAATATTTTGAGACATACAGAACTGCATATGGACGATGGAGAGAGAAATGGCCTTTTCTTTTTTTTTTCTTTTTTTGCCCTTTTCTTTCTCTTCTTTGCATTTTTCTTTCTTCTAAAAATTACAGATTGGTTTTATTTCCACCTTTTCCTCTTTTTCTCAAATTATAAATTTAAAAAGTGCGAATCAGCCTCAGATAAATTATTAATAAAATAAATTTAATTTTAAAAAAAATCAAACGAGTGTCAAATAAATTATTAAAAATACATAATTTAATTTTTTTTAAAAAAATGCAAATTAATCCCAAATAAATTATTTTAAAAAATTGAAATTAAAAAAATAAATTCTTTATTTTTTTATTTAAATAAGATTGTATATTCGTCATTTCACAATTTTTTATTGAGAAATTGAATGAAAATTGATAAAAATGATGATTTACGCAATCAAATGTGTAATTTATGGTGAAAATGTCAAAAAAAATGAAAAGTATGGATGCTTTTCACAGTAATAATGAAAAATTGGGACATTATGTGCTAATTACTTTTTAAATAATTTATTTAGAACTCATTTACACTTTTTTTTAAAATTTTGGACTATGGCTACAATTAATTTTTCTTTTTCTTTTATTTAAATAGAAGAGTATATTTGTCATTTCACGGCTTCTAATTAAACAAATTGATAAAAATAATATTTACGCAATGAAATGTGAAAATTAGGGTAAAATGCAGGAAAAAAAAGGTAATAACGTTTTCTACAATAATAATGAAAGGTAAAAATGTTATGTACTAATTGCCCCTCTCTTCTTTTTTTTTTACTCGCCTAATAAATGAAAATTTGATTTTCTTGTTGCTTTGGAATTTTCGCGCGTGACAATGGTGCCCGTTATATGGGGTTTGTGAAATTGTGACTCTGGATTGAGAGCAAAAATCTTGAAGGGAATCCAGCATGTTGAGAGGATCTGCTTGAAAATATTTTGGGGCTTAAATTGTAATAATAATTCTGTCAAGGGCTAGTTTGGACAATTTAATTCGCTTTCTCTTCGACGGAATGAATGTGTTTGATGACTGATGAGGCTCGATAAGTTACGAAGGAGATCTAAAGAGTGACTTTCTCGTTAAGAGTTCTGAAAACTTAAAAACATCACCATTAATTTTACAATTGAAGAGTTCTAAAAACAGCATACATGCATTGTTTGCACTTACTTTCTCATTAACGGAAAGTACATTCTAAAATTCAATAACTTTCGAGTAATGGAGGTTCTATAAAGTGATTTTCCCGTCAATAATCGGAGTTTTGGGAGATTTCAATTGTCACCGGTAATTTTACTATTGACGGGTCTAATTTCATGACAACATAAAAACATTGTCTAAATTTGATAACATGAGTTTGTTTGAAACGACAATAAAGACAAAATTGGCTTTTTAATATATTGATCAATGTCATGTATACCGGTCACAAGTCAAAACCTCTTTATGACGTACAACACTCCCACGTGTCACATCTAGCAATACTAAATTCTCACGTTGCTATTTGAAACCACGTGCAACTCCTTTTCTCTTCCAATGAGTGAATTGATTGACCACTTATCTATTGATTTGCGCTACATTTCCTCTTAAGTTTGATTAATTCCATAAAATTAGTATTATCATTCCCTCCATACTACCGAAACTATCTCATCTCCCCTAATCAATATGTGCCATCTTTTCGTTCAAGTACGAGTCCACTCGAGTTTATCCTTATCTGTCGAGCTTTCTTCACACACCCTGCCACTTGCTCATACGCATATACTAGAAAATGAGTAATCTTTTTGAAAATTAAAAGGCCTTTAATTGACTTTTATTTTTATTTGGAAATGACAGGGAGTGTAGTGAGAAAGAGAACTCGGGTGCAACTTTAGAATGCAATCATAGTACATGTCTCGTTGCCATTCCTAATTTTGACCTCCAACGGTAGTCTTTTCTATTAATTTTCAATTATAAACAGAGAATCTAATATTGTAATAAACGGTTTTCTAAATAATAATTTAAATGTCTCATTGTCTTTGTTTGATGTTCGATAATATTGGTCATTATGGTAAATAGAGCTTTATAAATATTTGTCTTTTACCGTTAAATAGGGAATATAATTTTTGTATGTATCAATTGAAATATTCTTCATGAGCTTCATCAATAAGGTTTGATTTACATTCTCAAATACAAGTTCAATATTTCTGGAGCTTAAGTCGGCACAAAAATCTCTTCAAGTAAAACTTGAACGTTACTTTAACAAGCTCGCGAGCTAGTATTTCATCATTCGAATTTGAATAACAAGTTTCCTTTTAAATATAATTGCTTTTATATTGTACTTTGATTTTTCTTAAGAGAAATCAGGTCTCATGTTGAATTCTCAAATTTTAGCGCATGTTTTCTTGTTGAAGTGTTCTCGAATTCAAGCCTAAAAAAAAAAAGAAAAAAAATAGGGGCTGGTAAATGCAACATTCAAATCCAGTATTTTATTGAGTATGTTTGGCAAAGCTTATAATTATTTATAAGTTAGTCAAACTCTGCTTTTATTCATGCATTTTGTAGAATCTGCAATTTTATCGACTTTTATACATTCATTAACACTCATTTCGTATGACTCATAACACATAAGTATCTAAAAGCGCTGCCAAATCAGCAATGAATTCTAATATTCAAATTGTAATCTTTATCAATTTTTAGCCATTTACCATCTATGTATTTTGTATGACTCACAATCTATAAGCATTTAAAAGGAATATCAAATAGGCAATGAATATTAACTATCCAACTATAATTTTTACCAAATTTTGCTCATTTATTATCTACACATTTTAACAGACATATTGTTGGAGAGTTTGTATAAAAATATGGGTTTTTTGGATATTGTTTATCCCACATAGGATAGAAATAGAAAAAGAGGCTTGTTTATAAGTGTGGAAATAATATGCTTAATAAGTTAGATAAAAGACCACACAAATGGGCTTTGAGCCTGAGCCATATGATTTGGGCTTGATTGGACTATTTGTTAGGCTATATAAATATATATGAGGAAATTACATAATTCCAATGGTTTGAAGATTGGAATTAAAAAATCAGGGACCAAATTTTATTACTCAAAAATCAGGTAATATATAAAATCCCTAACCCTAATTTTTACATCTCTACTCCCTCCCCTCTCTATCTCTCGCCTCATCTCCTTCCTCCCTTCTCTGTCTCTCGCCTCCTCTCCTCCCTCTCCCTCTCCCTCTCACAATCGGTAGCGCGAGGGCATCCCATCGGCCTCCGTTCATCGCAGTAGCACTCTTAGTTTTTCGTCGCAATTCTCACATCTCAGAACGTCGCTGCGGCTTGGGGATTTGGTAAGATGACCCAAGACCATCATTGATTTGTGTTTGACAATTGTGGGGGGCGATGTGGTGTTAATGGTGTTAGGGATGGTGGTGAGGTGGTGGATACGGATTCAGATTTAGATCTCGTTGCGATTGTGATGGTGTGTAGCGATGGTGTTGGTGGCAGTGGCGGTGGCGGTGGCGACGGCTGCCGCTACAGATTCAGATCTCACTACAGTTGGTGGTGGAGTGTGATACTGGAGGTGGTGTAGGATGCTGGCGGTTTTGGCGTGTTTGGGTGGCAGTTGTGGAGGTTTCGATCGGGTAGAGGCTGTGGTTTTTGTTGTCGACGTTGTAGTGGATCTGGTGGTTGCGGTGATTTTTGTTGGATTTAGTGGTGGTGGATCTAGCGGTGATAGTGATAGTTTTGTAGTTGAAAATGATGGTTAACAGGTGGTGGTGGTTCGAAGGCGAAGGTGGCGATAGTGGACGGTACAGTAGTGGCGATGGTGGTTAGATAGTGTAACAGTGACTGGGCTCTGGATTTTCATTTTGGGGTGGGGT